TTCAACTTTAGTCATGAACAACATAGAATTTATTTTTAGCCCTTTAAACGTACTACCTATGGGAATAAATTTTGCAGTGTGTTTACATACAGTTGATTTGAAGCATGCCCATTTCTGTTCTATGTTCTTTAATGACAGCATTCTCTCTCTGGCTAAATCTTGGAGAGCAGCAATCAGCCTTGGAAAATTTGCTCTCTTAAATTTAGTGTTTTTATCTTTCCAGTATGTGCTTTTTGTTTCCAGTTAACATTAAATTAAATCATGTTATGGCCATTGCTACCCAGATGTTCTTCTATATAAAATTTAGTAATAAGCTCTCCAATGTTTGAAGATAACAGTCCAGCAGAGCATGATTTCTAATTGGGGCTTCTATAAGCTGTACCCTAAAATTCTCTTATATTAGATTTATACATTTATATCCTGTTACTGTTCCAGCAGTGCCATTACGCCTGTCAATTCAGGGTATTTAAAATCCCCCATTGTTATCACTATCCCAGTCCTTGCAGCCTTTTCTGTGTGTGCAAGGAGCTGAGTCTCCACCTCCTCATTAACACTGGGTGTCCTATAACAAACTCCAATAATTAGCTTTGAAATATGCACACTCATATGCAGTTTCACCCATAATACTTCAGCCTCATCACACTCTCCATCAACAAAGTCCTATGTCGCACTCACTTTACACTCTCACATGAGACACAGACACTGCCAACTTGTCATTTTACCCCGTCTCTCCAAATGAGAGCATAGCCAGGAATATTAATAGCCCAATCATGTGAAGAATGAAGCCACAATTCAGCAATACCAATTAATTCACAGTTCTTTTCATGCACCAACATTTCCAACGCTTCTAATTTTTTGGCAGACTCCTGGCATTGGTGAACAAACACTTTAATTCATTGTCACATTTTGTACTTATATTTTGCATATCTTTAGTAGTACAAACAGTATTATAATTGCTAATGGTTGTTTGTAACATGGGAAACACTTTATTACCTGCCAAAGCCCTCTCCCAATGTTTACCTGTTCCATCCTCCTTTAGTGTCTGACCCCTGTCTGACTTGTCCGCCCTGTTACATTCTAATTCTCCCTTCCCCCCCAGTCTTAGTTTAAATACTCCCCCATCCATCCTATAAATTTCTCCCAAAGCACAGCAGACAACCTTCAATTTAGGTGCAAACCATCTTTAGAATATGGGTTGTAACCCAATGAAAAGTCAACCAAGTGCTCTAGAAACCCAAATCCTTCCCTCTTACACCAGGTCTTTAGCTATGCATTCAGCTGTCTGAGTTCCCTCTGCCTTTCCTGTGTTCTGCATGGCATAGGCAATATTCCCTAAGGCATATAACCTTGGAAGTCCTTCCCTCAAATCAAATAATGAGCCCATAGGTCTTTGGGGCTATTTGATCTCAATTGTATCTCAAAATTATCAGTAGATACTGATATATTGTATATGCAGCTGAGGTTACATGCAAATCTGGAGTTTTCCTTTAAAAGCCATATGTAGTTTTACCCTCTCCGATTTCCTATGCCTCTTATCCTTTCTTTTATGTGAAAGTCAGGATTATTCCTGCTCCTTTTTACTCCTATACCTCTATGTTGATCATTAAGACCACCCATCACATAAGCAGAAGACATGAAAGAAATTAAGAAGGAGAAGTGGAATTCACAAAAGAAGAAAATGGTATCTGTGACTAAAATCGGTCTAGTTTAGCCATAAAGGGATCTTATACTTTAGTTGCAGATACCATTTACCTGTTTTGTAAACCATTCAGTTATAAGTACTGAAGCTTTTTGCTATGTATATACAGTACTTTCTTTATGATGATATTTGGAGATAATATGTCTCATTATATGTATGTATTTCAGATAAACCAACAGATTTTGTGCACACACATTATCAATGACCCAATCCTAAGGAAGCAGCAATGGACCGTGAAATGCATTGAATAAAGGGTTTTGACACACATATCATGTTTGAAACTGCATTGGTACAAGTATGATGTAACTGGCTGTTGTGTTTTGATTTTTTTTTATACATGTATCTACTCTATATTTTATGAAATGTACTACTATTTTAAAGAAAAAATTAAAATAATGGATTTGTCACATTGGAATTTTGAGCTATAGTCTTCTTCTTAAGTACATCCTTTACCTAAATAATCTACAGAACATTGGATCTACAGCACATTGACAGCGTGAGTTTACAGGAAAAATGTGGGATGAATATGTTAGCATATAACTTTAGTTGCCCATAACGCTAGCTTTACTGGCCACTTTGACATGCATTTTTTTTTTTACTGAAGGTTAATTTCAGTAGATACAGCAACTGCTACTAACCATACGTATAGTAAGTATGTTTAATTATCAGAAGCACCAAGCACCAATCATGGAAAAAAAAACATGTTTTTACTAAATGTTTGCCCATATGTTATATTTTACCAATGCTCCTGAAAAATAATAATAATAAAAAAACACATCAACGTTAATATTATCCAAAAACAGCAAAACTGCTACTCTCAGGAGAGATCTTCACCCCTTGCATTCCGAGACTGTTGTCAACTATTAGTTGTGCAACATCAATGGATAATAATTGTACTGGAGGTAGTAGATTAGGTATGCAGGCTGTATTACGTTTTATGTACATAGCTTGGTTAAATCTAGGGGGACTAACTGTACAAGTACCAATGTGGATAAACATCTTGCTGCCTCAAGACTCTTGAAAATAATTACAAGGTAATCGACAAGCCAGTCATCAGAACCTGGTAAACAATTACAAAAAGACATATAATAGCATCCCCTGAGAAATGAGATGCCATAAACAGTATGTTACCTGTCATAGTCTTGGCAAATTTCCCCAACAGCCACAAGTGCTTTTAGATACTCATTGGGCTGGTAAGGATGGATGTAGTGCAGAGAGCAGCTGTTCCGTGGGTCTCCATTAGATGCTGTGAAGTCAATTGCTACCTAGAATGATGTGGAAAGGTATTATTATCCTTTAATTATATGGCATGCACACGTTCTGCAGTTCTGAACAATATCAGTACCTGTCACGTTATATTTTTTGTTATTGTAAACATGCACACATATTCTGGGACCTGCTTATTTGAAAGTAAGTTAACCACTTGTGGACTTAAGATGTATCGTGTAAGCAAGGCAGCTGTTAGAAACCACGGGGCCCCATACAGCCAACCTGACAGCCAACCATACCCCCCCCTCAAAAAACCCCCCCACACTTTACTAGGTTTTAGTTATGAATGAACACAGTGAGTGATCAGTACCGATCACTCATTGTGTTAACTCAGAAAAGGAAGGGGCTGGAAAAATGTGACATATTTACCGGACCCTTCCCACTCTCCATCCTGAAGGATCCTATTATGTGTTTGCAGCTGCTGGTAGAAAGGAGAGAAGGGAAGCCAGCAGCACTGTGGGGGTGAGGGTACACAGGGGGGACTTATCAGCAGGAGGAAACTTATGGTGAACAGGGAGGGTGAGGAGTGTGGCGGGGGAGCAATTACTGCAAATGATCCCCTGTATGGCTCCCTCTGCAGCTGAAAGCCATAGGGCGGGAGAGGAGAAGAAGCCAGCTTTCAGCTGTTGCAGAGAAAGCCATACAGGGGATCGGTTCCAGTAATTGCCACCCTCCCATGCTGATCACTCTTCCTGCCCACATGTGATTTACCCAGCTGCCTGGGCCCCCCTGCTGGCCTGGGCCCCATACAAGAGGACTGGTGGTACCCCCTTATCCACAGCCCTGGGTGTAAGCCCTAAATAAACATTAATCAAATACCTTGGCTGTATGCCATATGGCCTGTTCCACTTCTCACTGCTGCCCCTACTGCTGGCAAATGCAGACTGTCAAAACAATTGGGGATTTCTTTCTAGCACAGAAGTGCTTGCAGCTGCTGCTATGTAGAATTAAACTTTTAAACGGTGTTTGGAACTGCACCTGTTAACTTATTGCTGTCTGGATAGCTGTAGCAGTGATTTGGACCCAACAGGCGCAAAAGCAATAAAGATTTTTTTTTTAATACAGAGAGCAAGGGTTAGAACCTTATCTGAATGCTGTTTGGAATCCAGCTGGAGATTTCTACAGGAAGATTGGATAGATAAAATAGCGGTATAGGTGGCAAAGGAAGCAGACAGCAAAAGAATATTGAATCCTTCCCACTCTATTGAAATCTAATAAAGAAAATGTTTTAGCTGGAATTACGCTAGTACTTTGACTGATATAGGTGACCACCACAGTGCCACCATTCCAACTAAGCTAGTGTGCTCTCAGAGGATTCCTACAGAAGAAATACCCATAGAATTCTGACACAATGAACATTTCAGGTCTTAATGGTATTTTTTTTTCTCAACACACCAATTTGTACTAGATAACTAGTTTTTAATGATTATATCGGTAACTTAGTAGATCTGAAAATGTTTTTGCATTTTACATAAAATGACAATACAAATGTCATAAAATCAAAAGAATAAATAATAATTTAGTCATACTGAGCAACGGAGAAATGGGCATATCAATTCAAAGTATAAAAGGTAAAAAACACAACTATATCATATGATTAGTGAGCAAACATTCCAAACCCACTTATAAAAATGGTTGTATAAGCGGTCTTTAGCTGTGATCACTATGGTACATAAAAATACTCAGGTTACCAATGTAAATAAACAAGAAAAGAATAAGTAAAGACATGAAAATAAGAGGTAAGAGAATGTAGCTTGGATGGAGTGTAATTCCGAATAGCTGCTCATTTGCTATAATTATGGTATCATGAATTCTTATTTTCTCTATGCAAAGACTAGAGTTGGTGATCTACATGCCTTTAATCAGTCTTTTTATAAGATAATGTTTTAATCTGGTGCTCAGTTAAAAATTTATTGCACTGTATATACACTGCCAAAATTGCCAAAAGTATTAGGACACCTCTCCAAATCATTGGATTCAGGTGTTCCAATCACCTCCATGGCCCCAGGTGTAAAAAAAAAAAATCAAGCACCTAGGTATACAGACTGCTTCTACAAACATTTGTGAAAGAATGGGTCACTCTCAGGAGCTCAGTGAATTCAAGCGTGGTACCGTGATAGGTTAACACCTGTGAAATAAGCCCATCCGTGTAATTTCCTTGCTACTAAATATTCTTTGGTCATCTGTTAGTGGTATTATAACAAAGTGGAAGCAACTGGGAACAACAGCAAGCCAGCCACTGGAGTGGTGGCCACATAAAATGACAGAGTAGGGTCAGCGCATGCTGAAGAGCACAGTGCTCAGAAGTCACCAACTGTCTGCAGAGTCAATAGCTAAAGACCTCCAAACATGGTGTGACCTTCAGAGTAGCACAACGGTGCTTCATGGAATGGGTTTCCAAGGCTGAGCAGCTGCATCCAAGCCTTACATCACCAAGTGCAAAGCACGCCGCCACTGGACTCTAGAGCGGTGGAGATGTGTTCTCTGGAATGATGAATCACGCTTCTCTGTCTGGCAATCCGATGAACATGTCTGGGTTTTGGCGGTTGTCAGAAGAATGGTGCTTGTCTGACTGCATTGTGCCAAGTGTAAATTTCGGTAGAGAGGGAATTATTGTGTGGGGTTTGTTTTTCAGGGGTTGAGCTTGGCCTCTTTGTTCCAGTGAAGGGAACTCTTAAGGCGTCAGCATACCAAGACATTTTGGACAATTTCATGCTCCCAACTTTGTGTGAACAGTTTAGGGATGGTCCCTTCCTGTTCCAACATGACTGCGCACCAGCGACAAAGCAACGTCCATAAAGACATGGATGAGCGAGCCTGGAGTGGAGGAACTTGACTGGCCTCAACCCGATAGAACACCTTTGGGATGAATTAGAGTGGAGACTGTGAGCCAGGCCTTCTCATCCGACATCAGTGCCTAACCATACAAATGCACTACTGGAAGAATGATCAAACCTTCCCATAGACACACTCCCAAAGCTTGTGGGCAGCCTTCCCAGAAGAGTTGAAGCTGTTATAGCTGCAAAGGGTGGGCCAACCCAATATTGAACCCTACAGACTAAGACTGGGATGCCATTAAAGTTCATGTGCATGTAAAGCGGGTTTCCCAATAATTTTGGCAATATACCGTATTTGCCGGCGTATAAGACGAGGGCGTGACGACCCCCCTATTTTTCCTGCTAAAATGTAGTGTTTGGGCTATACTCGCCGTATAAGACTACCCCTCTTCCAATGCACACCAGTGGGAGGAATAGTGCCCCATCATTGATGTCAGTGGGAGGAATAGTGCCCCATCATTGGTATTAGTGGCAGGAATAGTGCCCCATCATTGGCATTAGTGGCAGGAATAGTGCCCCAATTGGTATCAGTGGAGGAATAGTGCTCCATCATTGGTGTCAGTGGGGAATAGTGCCCCATCATTGGTATCAGTGGCAGGAATAGTGCCCCATCATTGGTATCAGTGGGAGGAATAGTGCCCCATCATTGGTATCAGTGGGGGGAATAGGTGCCCCATCATTGGTATCAGTGGCAGGAATGGTGCCCCATCATTGGTGTCAGTGGGAGGAATAGTGCCCCATCATTGATGTCAGTGGAGGAATGGTGTCCCAATCATTGGTGTCAGTGAGGGGGTGGAATAGTGCCCCATCATTGGTGTCAGTGGGGGGGAATAGTGCCCCATCGTTGGTGTCAGTGGGGGGGAGGAATAGTGCCCCATCGTTGGTGTCAGTGGGAGGAATAGTGCCCCATCGTTGGTATCAGTGGGAGGAATAGTGCCCCATCATTGGTATCAGTGACACCAATGATGGGGCACTATTCCTCCCACTGAGACTTGCTGACCCTGTTCTCGTATGGTGCTGCTGCAGCCAGCATATGTGGTTGCAGCAGCACCTCTACACAGCACACTTACCTGCTGCTCCGGCAACTCAATTTTCGTGGGGCCCGCTCGGCTCCGCCCCCTCGCCGGTGATTGGCCGCCTGTGTGCCTTTCCTGAGCTACAGTTCTGGCGGCCAATCACCGGTGAGGAGGCGGAGCCGAGCAGCCGCACGAACATCCAGTGGCCGAACTGAAGGAGACGCCGCGCTTCCTGGACCGGATCGTCGTGGGACTGGATCCAGGTAAGAGACATCAGCCCCTGCAAACCCCCTGTACTTAATGCCGCAGCCCCCTAACATGTGTACCGGCGTATAAGACGACCCCCGACTTTTGAGAAGATTTTCAAGGGTCAAAAAGTCGTCTTATACGCCGGCAAATACGGTAGTGTATATGTGGTAATAGATTTAACTCTGTATTGAAATCTGTGTTTGAAAGACCCTATATCAGAAAATCACATTTCTTCTATATCCATCGTATTACAAAGATCAAACACTTGAGCCTGTGTGAGGATATCGCAGAATTAATTTGTGAATTTGTATACTCAAGTCTAAACCTTGCCAAAGCTTTTCCTAGAAAGAGTTTATATTTGATTGCAGGTGGTAGAGGATGCAGCTGCCAGGCTGCTATGCAATCCATCACACAATTACCATTTTACAAGGATTCTTCTCAGGGCACATTGTTTGCCTGTAAAATGGGAAGGGGGATAATTTAAATTCAGCCTTCTCACCTTTAGAAAATCTAAGAGATCTCTTGGGACCTTACATACCCTGGATACTATAACTGAACGCAAGGAGAGAACAAAGTTTACATCTTTGAGCTCTGTAAAGGCAGAATTTATCGGAATATTACAAGAAATTATGTAAGAGTTTTCAGACAGAGAACAGATGGTAAACAGGACTGTTCACAAGTGTTGGGTATGTTGTAGTTTTCTGTGTTGGGGAGTACAGTTTTTCACAGTTTTCCTTTTTATCTTTTGGCACAACCTGTTTACAGCATCATATAGACTCATTTCCAATTAGTTTTCTGAGGTTGGAAGTAGCTTAGGAGAAGCTATAGGAGCCAGGTTCTATGTCCTATGTATTTTTTATACCCACTTTTGCCTGCAAAGTAAAAAATGAAGCAGTTTCATCCTGTTCTGCTCTCCCATTGAGAGAGAGATAAAGAGGAAACCTGTGAGATATTTCAGCTTATTACCATGTGCAGAAGCTAAAAGTCAGCTAATTGTACATATTAACATGGACTTTGTTTAGTTTTTTGTACAGTGTGGAAGGTTTGGGACCCTTTGTTAAGTTTTTATTGCTGTACTAGTGTATTTTCTGAGGAGATTTACTTTCTCTATTTGCTAAGGGGACATCCATGCGGGTGCACTCCTGAGCTGGGCTTTATGCGTCCATAGACACACACAGCACCAGTAAGCCATGCTCCTGCTCCCTCCATACAGAACTATAAATGACAGCAGCAGGAGCCTATGGCTCCCACTGCCCTCAGTGTCTCCTATGAGTCCAGGTGGAGAGGAAAGCGGGCTGGAAGCCGAGACAGTACTGGAATGGTGAGAGCAATCAGGTACGTGTTTAGGGATGGGGCGGGAGGGGGGAAAGGTATGGGGGGGTTTACTGTAATGCAGAGAGAGCATTAAGGTAAAAAAAAAAACCTTTGGCATTGATAACCACTTTAACGTCCTTAGCGGTTTTCCTGAGTGTAGCTCGGGGTAAAATTTGAGTACCAAGAGCGGTAACCCCAAGCTACACTCGGGCTTACCATGCGGCCTTGCTCAGGGGGTCCCTGCAGCACTTACCTTGTCCTTCTCTCCCGCGATGTGTCCCCTGCAGCGTCTCCGGCCATCTCCTCCGGCCGGCATCCGGCTTCTGTGTACCGGTCCCTGTGATGTCGGGACGTACAGGCACCGGAACCGGCGGGAAATTAGAAATTTTTAAAAAATTTCATTTTTGCTGTCATTGCTGTTTCAATGCATTTCACATATATTTTGTCCCTACTGCTTTGTCCTGTGCCCTGCCTGCATTTTGACTGTTCTTTCTGCCTGGAAACTTAGAAAAGTCCATGGCGTCCAAAAAGCATCCCTTTACGTCAAAAGCGGTTTTAGAACAGCGATAGTAAATCAGAACCACTTGCAGAATTGATTCGTCATCAGACACTGAAAATGATTTTGCGACTTTGCTCAGCGATGTGCGAATTTGCCTCTGTATTTCAAATTTCAGTGTTTTTGGTTTGATTATATTATTGAATTAAATTTATTATTATTATTATATTATTATTATTTTTTATGATTATTTATTAAATTATAATTTATGATTTCGTGTTTCAAGTTTTATCATACCCGGGATGTTTACTAGACTCTTGTTCGTACAGATTTCAGTGAGTTATTCCTAAAAATTACAGCCTACAATAAAAAACTACATATTTCCATGCAAAAAAATGGTACCGCTTTTTCAGCACAAAAAATCGGAAAGAATCATACCGCCGAGGAGGTTAAAGGAAAGTGTTTAAAGTGAGAAAAAACTCCCACTGAACACTTGTACGTACAGGTCAGCTTACAATAAAGTTTGGGTACAAGGAATATCTCCTAGAGATGCACCACTTAGGAGATATTCAGTGTCCCTGCAGTTCACCAGTGCATGCGCTCTGAAGGATTGGCATACCTGTGAAGTTCCATTAGAGCTTTGTTCCCCGTGGAAGTGATGCCATTGCAGCTTGGCCAATCAAGCAGCCAGAGCCCATGAACCGGAAGGAAGACCAGGTGAAATGGAAGCCCTGTCAGTGGTGACAGCACCCCAATGGAGGGCTTTGTTCTAAGGTAAGTCTTTCATAATGTGCTACTATGCAATGCACACTAGCACATTATTACATTACCTTGGGAGAAGTTTTTTTTTTTCTGTTAACTTGAGTTCACTACCACATGTTGATAAATAGCTCCACTAAGAAAGAGAAAGCTTCTGTTTCTGAGGGGAGCCAGGGGAAGGTGCTCTTTAGAGGAAGTGTGCCAGAAGCTCAAAAAATCAAAGCAAGTATAGGAAATAAAGAGCACTGTTACGATACTGTAGAAGCTGGAATACATAAAGCCCATCTCTGTACCTTGCAAAAGCCTGAGCTAAAAGCAAACAAATAAACATCATAGCACCCTGCTTTAGTGCTCCTTCCACAACCCCTTAGCCCTAATGCAAGAAATTGGCTGGCTCTTGGGAGGAGTTATTAAATATCAAAATACCTCAATGGGTGGATGTCCATCTGGAGGAGTGTGATACAGACTGTGACACCCACATCTGATGCTGAGCTTCCTTGACTAAAAAATCCACTGAGTAAAAAGTGCAAGCCATGGACAGCAAGACTGGGGAGGAGAGGACTAGTTGATGCTGGGATGTCCTCCAACCCAGGAAATATGGCTGGCTCCATCTGACTCGCTGCACCTTCTAATGCACACTGTGAAGAGCTCACAGTATGCAGTGAAATCTGGTTACGCAATTTCTGCACGGAAAAGGAGCCTGTGCAACTGTGCAAGACTGAAAGTAAAGCTGGAGATCAGCTTTATTTGCAGTGGTGAAGAGTCAATTCTGTGATTTTAGTTTATATTATTACAAAATGGAAAAATACATTTCTAAGGCTGAAATGTGCATTGAGTCTTCAATAAAAAAAAAATGCTGTAAATAAATCGCATTGTGTTACACAAAGGTTGAATGAAAAATAGTGCCTTCACTTTCATGTT